GAGATATTGATATTCCAACAAAAAAAAAAAAAAAAAAAAAAAAAAAAATATATATAAATATATTATGCATAAGAAAATTTTCATATGAAAATTTGTTTTAAAATCTTAATGCGTTTACTTGATAAAAATTAAAACGTTTGAAATATTCACGAATGTCAAGGAATTTTAATCAATAAGATATATAACCAACAAAGATCATAAGATCGTAGAATTTTTTAATGATTTTCAAGTAACAAGCATTGATTGTACATTGTAATACTTATCAATTACATTAACGATCAATCTGTAACAAAATAGATGCGTATCATTTCACAAGCATCTATTATTAGTACATGTACGTAGCTCTGGTTCGTTTATAGGCTAAAAAATTACTTTTGTACAATCCTTTCATTCTTACTTTTGAAATATAACCTTCTTATGATTCTCTTCGTTCTTACTTTCTATCTCTATTTTTTTCTCGTTTCAACCGACTCTTAATAGACACCCAATAAGAAATTGATACTACAGTGGAATCCGCATAATCACGCAATGTTTACGATGGCTTTACAAAGAGACAAAGAGAGAGAGAGAGAGAGAGAGAGAAATAGAGAGAGAGAGAGATAAATTCCACTAATTGAAGCTTTTATTGAAAATAAAATAATTTTGGTTTCGCTTATGAAATCAATCGAGATCGTAACCGCTAAAAAAATTCTTTCAATATTTCAAATAATTCTAAATTTTAATTTATCATCTTGTCGAGACAAATAAGAAGAGAACAAAAATGATAGAGAAGAAGAAGAAGAAGAAGAATTGTACTCGTTATATTACAACTTTCGTGACTTTTCATCCGTTAATTATTTTGGAAGTCCGATTGTAATTATTGTTGAGAGGATACTAAAAAGGCGTGGTAATTAAGTGAAATAAAGCTCAAATTTACGACGAAGACTCTCCTTCGTGTTCTACGTGCATGATAAGAACTACACCATTGTCATACTGTACTCACGAGACTAAAAATTGCATTGCAACGGTTTATTTAGGAAAAAAAAGGAAATAGAAGTTAGATCTAAGGAGAAAAAGAAAGGGATGGAATATTCGAACGATAGATAAATACACAGATCTATTTAAGATTTAAAAGAAATAAAAATAATTTCATATGGTAACGCGATGGAATTCTTGGTAAATCATTGAAATTAACGCACGTGACGACGTGTCATCGTTACGAACAATTAAACGTTCGCTGCGTAATTACGATATACATCGATACGCGCTGCCCGTGTGAACGCTTAAAAATCGTTTAAACGATTAAACATTCGCGAGATGAGAGTACAATAACCAGGAAAACGTGAGTGGTCGTGGACTATAAACGAGAGCGAAATTTACGATCGACGCGCCAAGAATAATAATTAGAGTTTCTTGATCGTTTTGTTCGACGACAATAAGGACAACACGATATGTGCGTATTTCAAATCTCACTTTTATACGGGAGGTAAAAAATGAGATGAAAATATACATTAAGACTATAAAAAGCAAAAAATTATGACAAATAAAAAATAAAAATACTATAATCCAATCATAGTAAATGGCTGTAACGATAAAATATTAGAATGATAAAAAAGAAAGGAAAAAAAAAAAGATCAGTAAATAATAATAGTACGTAAAGTTATACAAAAATATAATATTAGTTAGAGAAAAGGAAAAAAGAAAAAAATCGCACATGGATTCACTATCGTTTTCAATTTTGACAAATGAACTTGGAAAAAGTTTAATCTTATATAAAAAAAGATAAAAGAAAGCAAAAAGAGAGAGACAAAGGAATAAAAGAAAAGAAGGGAAAAGTAAAAAAAAAAGAGAGAAGGCCATGTTTGAAACGCAGTGTATTTTTCAAACTTTCCACGGAGTAACCCCTTCTATTTGACCTTTTCCTCTTCTCCTTTTTCTCCTTATTCGTTTCCTAGCAATCCTGCGTGAAAGAAAACCGGTGGACGTTCTATTACGTGTATTTCATGTCCGTAACAAGCAAGTGGCAACCATTTCCTTCCCCTTTCAATACTACCCTTTATCTCAGTCTCTCTTTTTATCTTTATTTCTATTCTTCCCTATCCGTAGCGCGGACATTTTGATATTCTTATCTAACCAAGCAAAAAGGAATTCTTTTTAAGCGAACGATTTACTTGCGACGTCACGAACTAACCATACCAGGATATAGATTAAAAAAATCGATTACTTTTTCTTCTCTCTTTTTACTCCGTTGCTCGTACAAATAATTTCTCTTCACTCGATTACCAGTTTAATGTAACGATAATTCCAGTCCATGTTTTTTTTTTTTTTTTTTTTTCAAATTTTACTTCGATTACAATCCAAAGATAAAGAAAAATAGAGAAAGAGAGAGAGAGAGAGAGAGAGAGAAAGTACGTATCTTCACAAATTGTGTCACGCATGATCGCGTGCCCAAGAAGAAAGAGAGTATATGCAGAATATAGTCGTGCGTAAAAAATGAGTGAAAATTTACGAGTAATTTGCTGTTAACAAATGACGTTATATATCACGAGACACACGTAGGATTATAAAAAATTTTTAACGCGTTACGATTCTATCTCATCTTTCTCTTTTTACAAATGATACGCATTTTCTATCTATACGATCTACAATAGTAAGCATAGTAAAATCACAAAAAGAGGTTACAATAAAGATATAAGTAATAATCCTTATTGAATTAAATCTATATTTCGATTAATATATAATCAATCGATTTTCATGAAAATAATTATATTACAAGTTCGATTTATATTTTCTTAAACCTAAACAATTTCTTATCTATTGTATCACAATTATCGATCCACATTATATGTCATTCTCTCCTAAACTAGAATTCTCTTAACGCGTTCATATATCGACACATATATCGATGACATACCAGTTTACTTCAATCATCTCGACCTTCGCCCTTAATTACTATATATCTTTTCGTTTTCTATTTCTTCTTTGATACGAACATCCAATTAATCCTGATCACCGAAAAGATCTTTCATACCGAAGAAGAAACGTACGTTTTATCTTTTTCTCTATTTCTTTCTAACTATCCTGACATTTCCAACATCTATCTCCAAAAGCTTACATCCCAAGGGTTCAATCTCCAATTATCGGCTAACATTCTCAAACTTCAATTTCTTTACGTTGATCGTAAAGGAAACTTGGAACCAAACTACGATTAACATCGTGACGACTTAATTAAAATTATTTTGACGTTTTCTATTTTCCCGATAAACCTCATAGAACCCTCATTTTTCCTTCCATTATTATTTTTCTTTCTCTCTTTTCACGAGTTTATAATCAACGAAAATAAGAAAACTCATCCCGTAACACGACACGATTTTCGAGCTTTCGAAGAAAAATAAAAAAACGTATATAGCTAAACTGAGAAAAATTGATTCGCATTTTCGAAAGTTAACTGTGTGTACATGACCGTTCTTGAATCTTTTTCGAGATAACGTCCAAATTGTTACGACAGACTATTCTCTAGTGGAAGAGAACATGTCGAGAAGAAAATATCGATCTCCATGTATTCTTTTAATAAAACTGTAAACAATGAAAAATCTACGAGTATTATTTTAACAATTTTAAAAATAATCTCCAATAAATACGAACAGGTTTATTTGTCATATATATATATATATATATATATATATATATATTCATACTACGTGAGATAAAATTTCCTCGATTATTCTCTCACGATTTGTATAGTAAATATAGATATTCGTTTTTTGTAGATAGACATCTATTTACATGCATGTGTATATATACGTTTTCCTAAATTCATAAATATTCTCATGTTTGTGACACCATGATGAACGAGGGTTATGATAAACGACATTAAGAAGACTAACAATAAAGAAAAGAGCCGAAAAGCTTGGCCGTCGGACAAAGTTGTTGATGCATGAAAATTAAATTTTCAAAAAGTAATCATTATCCATCTTTCATCTTTTCGCAATAAATTGCCGCAAGGTATAAAATTTGTCATATAAATTAGAACATTAAAGTAAACTTACAAAAAAGAAAGCGAAAAAGAGAAAGCGAGAGAGAGAGAAAGAGAGAGAGAGAGAGAGAGAAAGAAAAAGAGGGGAAAAAAGGAAATGGATATTAAATACCGTCGTGAGTTCGCTAAATTTGTCTTCCGCGAAAATTTTCTTTCAGAACTGCAACCACAATCGGTAGTAGCAAAACAACACCACCACCCTACCATATCCATTCACTTTCGTCACGTGGAAAAGAATATGATACGTCCGCGACCATTACTTTCCACATCGGATTTCCTCGTAATTTTTAACTTTGTTTTTAAGAACTTAAGAACTTCGTCCATCACTTCTCTTTCTTCAACTTCTTTATTCGAATAAATTGTAAAGTTTTTGCCTTTCTGAATCGTCAATAAAGACTTGGACAATAAGAAATGAGTACCTTTCAAAAAGTCCGTATCTTTCATACTTTTCACAAACTTTTCTTGTAACACATTACAATTTTTCTTATATAAATTATATAACACATACAATTATTATTATTATTATTATTATTATTATTATTATTATTATTATTATTGTTGTGTTATTATTATTATTATTATTTTACTACTATTACTTTTATTACTATTACTATTATTATTATTGTTACTATATTATCATCATCATCATCATCATCATCATTATCATCATTATTATTATTATTATTATTATTATTATTATTATTATTATTATTATTATTATTATTATATTATTATCATTATTATTTCGGATTTCACAAAATCTATACTTCGATTTGAAATTTCATTCCGATACTTGAATATGTAGAACAAATATTCGAATGTCGTTAATAAGTATATGATCTATTTACTCTATTATTATTTCTAAATTTTCCATTGTTGTAAGGTGAGGAAAAACATTAGGAATGAAAAAAACTTAAGTCCTACGTGAGAATCAGTCTTACGATCGTTGATCATATATATCGATATATTCGGATCGTTGACTGACCTTGACTTTCCGACATCTCCGAGCAGCGATGGATCTTGACTGTTTTCTGAGCGCCTCCAGAGGAAACCGCTAGGCACGGGATTCGTCCGAGGAACCTCCACCTCGGTGCCACTTCGTAAACTAGCCTTTCACACCCCCGCCCTATGCTCCGTTTGATCAAAAATATCACTTCGTGCACCGATTGTATCGATATTTTAACAAACACGACAAACAGCAGCAAGAATGACAATAACAGAATTAACGGCAAGATTAACAACACGTCGACGAGTATCTATTATCACGATTTTGTTATTATACGGGACGAACAATCCGAATCGTCGTCGCCTGAAACGAACGTCGTCAATTTCACCGAGGAAGAACACGTTTGAAAAGTGTGAATGTGCAAGATCATTCGCAAAAACTTTACGACGCTTTTATTCTTCTCTATCTTTTTTGTTTCTTTTTCCTTTTTCTTTTCTTTTCTTTTTTTTTTTTTTCCTTTTGCTTTCTTTCTAATACAAAATCACAATGAACCTAATGATATGTGTATGTGTGTATGTATGTATGTATGTATGTATGTATGTATGTATGTATGTATGTATGTATGTATGTATGTATGTATGTATGTATGTATGTATGTATGTATGTATGTATGTATGTATGTATGTATGTATGTATGTATATATGTATGTATGTATGTATGTGTGCATGTGTAGAGATGTATATATAAATATATGTGTACACGTATGTATGTACGAAAAGGTGAACGTGAAAGCGAGAGAAAGGAGGAGCAAACGAAAGGACGCGAATCGCTTGCGGCACGGTCTGGGCGGTAACTGAGGCGAATGTAGGCGTCTCGACGCTCAGCATCGCTCCCACCCCCCTTTTCCCTCTATCCACCAACGCTTATCTCCTACTACCTTCCAGAATCGTACTGGCCCTCTGCGCCTTTTATCGTTTCTATACTTTCCTTTTCTTTCTCCTGCTCTCTCTCTCTCTCTCTCTCTCTCTCTTTCTCACTCTCTCATTCTCGATTACGATCTATATCTATCTCTCTCTCTCTTCATCTGTCAGTTCTCTTTTTTTCTGTACATCCCGTCTCTCTCTCTCTCTCTCTCTCTCTCTCTCTCTCTCTCTCTCTCTCTCTCTCTCTCTCTCTCTCTCTCTCTCTCTTCTCTCACCCCCTTCCTCTTTATCTATCTCTCTTGAACAATGGATATCGCCAATCGAACTGAGACTTTTTTCGTGTTAATTACGAAGACTTATCGGACATCAAAAAAATATACATAAATTGTGTGTGTGTGTGTGTGTACGCGCTCGCGCGCGCAAGTTAACATCTTGTTTGAAATAACATAATCATTATTATTCATAGAACAGTTTTATAAACAAGACAATAATACTCGCAATAAATGTATAAACAATGTTAATTTTAAAAATTATGTGAAAAAAAGAAAAGAAAATTTTCAAACTTCAATAGAAATATTATTATATTTCTTATAATTAATTATTAAATTTCTTAATAATATTATATAAATTTTCAAACGACGATAGAAATATTATATCGATTTATTCATAACTATTTAATAAAAAGTAAATAAAAAGAAAATAAAACATATATATATATATATATATATATATATATATATATATTAATATATAATATACATATTATTCACTTTATGAGATAAAATTTCGTAATCTTTTTATCGTTTCATTTTAGAGAAATAAAAGCAGCGAGTATCAGCATTAAAAGGTATTTTTCATTTCTTGAATTTCGTAGAGTACCTTAAGCTCTTTTCTTTATTTCGTTAATAGAACAATAATAATAATTGTCCCTCGATGCATCTCGAGGAGAGTATCTTTAAAATGAAAGAAAGAATTTAATTGAAATTCTAGTGAGACTTTTTAAACGAAAGTAGCTTCATACTTCGTCGGATAATAAATTATCCTCATCTATTTAGCGGTTTATTCATGTCATTAAACTCGGATCCATTCTATGTCTCTTCGTTTACTTTGCTATTAATCGGAATACTTCGAAAACACGACTGTTTTTTATTTTTCATTTTTTCTTTCTTTTATTTCTTTTTTTCTTCTTTTTTTTTCTTTTTTTTTCACTTTTATTTCAATCCAGTCGGAAAACGAGTAACATTCGTTAAAATTCAATATCGAATTATATCAAAAGATTATAAATACATATACTAATTAAAATTTGATATATATATATATATATGTATGTATATATGTATATATGAATGCATATCTGTACATATGTATGTTCGAAGTGTATATGTATTTTTGTACGTATGTATATATTAATACTTACTACATCCAATAGTTAATTCGAAGAACATAACCTTAAGTGGCTTCAATGTCAAGTTTTCTCTTTGATATATCTAAACAGATAAAATAGATTTATATAATTAATGAAAATAATATAAATTTCATTTAATACGAAATACTTACATTTTCTCGAAAGATGTCATTTTTACAGTTACATCGTAAGAACACGTATGCATACATGTTATAGAAATAATAAAACAAAATCTAAACTAATAATACTGTTAAATATAAGAAACACCGAATTTAGATAATAATGTTGATCATTAATTATTATTTCGATTTATCTATGTGAAAAATTATACGAATTACTATGTTTTAGAATATGCAAAGGAACGAAATACACGTACGCGAAGTTATATCGACTGTTGTTAATGGAAGACTGTACCTAAGAGATATTACGAACTATGAAACATCTACAAGTAAAATAAATAAACAATGAGGAGGATCGTAAGGATGTATACGTAACGTAAAAGGAATGAAGGGCTCAAGAATGTTGTTTGATTATACGCGTCGTAATACATTGGCGGGGTTATTTCAAGATGACGTCACTTTACTTTCACAGCTACGAATCGAGCGCCCTCTTTCACGGGCGCCAAAATATGAAACGTTTATTTGATATTTTTTCGATATTAATAATCGAAATATTTTCTTATTTATTTATGACAATTTATTAATCTAGATAATCGTTATTACTTATTTATAAAGTTTCGATGTTATATAATTTAATGAAATATTTTTGAACGAATAAATGTTTATGAATAATATACTCTATCACAAAAGATGAGAATAAAATTATTTGATTTAAGAACTTAGAAAGTAACGTCGGCAGTAGGTCAATACTGTAGAAAAGCTTCGTTTACAACGCAAACGAAAAATCAATGGTAAGAAATTCTATTGGTTCTAATGAATGAGATTGACGAATCGTGTAACTCTGTTATTTAGGGATTATCCTTGAGTTTTTCACGATGAAACTATTCTTTCCTTTTTGGAGTTTACGAACTGTTATAATTTTAGAAGGTTGTATACGATTAATAAGATTTTTATTGTTGTTTGTGACAAAAAATTAAATTAATAAAGTATGATCGATAAGAATTAGATTGATAAAGTATATATTGCTATCTATTTAATCTTACAATTTCTTATATTCTATACGTCTTTCTTATATGTCAAATACATTTTCTTTTTGTAGGAAAAGATGTCAAAAATATTTTGAAAGTTATGAATATCGCCATGAATCGTGTAAAAGTAAATGGTAATATTTTCTTTTTAAATAAATATTTTTTCTCTTCGTAAATAAATATTATTTGATAATATATATTTCGAAAATAATTAATATGTCATTTTCATTTATAATCCAGTTAGAAAGAAATGTCCCTTTATGGAGAAATGTTATCGAAAAAATCCAATACATTTTGCAGAAATGTCACATCCTCATTGTAAGTATTCTTTTATGATTTTATATTACAAATATGTTATAATAATTAAGATTAAATATGCAAAGTAACATTAATTTCTTTTCAGTCGAAAGATTGGTAATCGATCAATTGGACGATACATTAAATATACCTGATGTTCTTGATTTTGAATGTGATCGATCTCAATTATTGGATCAATTGAAGGTTATACAAATTGTAATGAGAAAAGAAAGGGATAAGGACAGAGACAGTTTCTTAAAATTAAAGAAAGACTTACTTTCAACAGATGTTACAAACAATTCTGCTACCTCAAAAAGTCCTAATAAAGTAAGTAAGTTAGAAAGTAACAGATTAGATTCTGAAAGTCAGCAAAGCTCAAGCTCATCGGTATCTATAATGGATACTTATGTATCTTGTAAATTGAATAAAGACAGAGAAGAAATACGAAGAAAGGCAATAAAAAGAATGAAACAGCAAGGCTTCGAAGTATCTTTAGTGGAACCTGGAGAATTTGCTATTAAATATGCTCTTGCTGCTCCTTATTACATATTTTTTACAAGAATAGAGAAGTCATCATCGACTTATAATCAATCATTTTCTATAACCTTTCCTGAAATATTAGATAAAAGTCTTGGAGAAATAAAATCTAGTTTACAAATTACTTTCATGGTCGATGTTGGATGGCTTTGCTTGCAGTATTTATTAGCAGGACAAAAAGCCAATATAACAATTTTATATGGAGATAGAGTAGATAAGGAAAAATTAGGTGAGAATATTACTTTGGTATCTGTTCCTCTACCAACACCGTATGGTTGTCATCATTCAAAGATGATGATATTGGAATACAGTGATGGCGGAATCAGAATTGTAGTGTCTACTGCAAATTTATATTCTGATGACTGGGAAAATAGAACTCAAGGGTATGTAAACATATCCTTCAATTATCTAGCATTTCTTTCTTCTCATATAGTAAGCTTTAAAAATAAATCGAATTACTTTAATTTTAATTAGACTTTGGATTTCTCCTCATCTACCTTCATTACCGAAATCCGATAACACGACTAATGGAGAATCTAAGACAAATTTTAAAAGAGACTTTCTACAGTATTTGAAAACTTATAAACAATCAGCTTTAAACAAATGGATTGATATAGTAGAAAGGGCTGATTTTTCAGACGTTAACGTTTTCTTCATTGCCTCCGTACCTGGTAGTTATCGTCAGACCAATGTAGATACATGGGGTCATAGAAAGTTGGGTTATGTTCTTTCCACATATGCTAGTTTACCACAAAATGCATTGCATTGGCCAATAATTGCACAAAGTTCCAGTTTAGGAACCTTAGGACCGAGTTATCAAAATTGGTTATCAACAGTTATAGTGTCATCCATGTCGAAGACAAAAGAATCGAAAATTCTTCCGAACTTTCAATTTATCTTTCCTACTCAAAAAAATTATGAAGAAAGTTTTGACTGTCAGAATGCTTGTTGCTGTTTATGTTATAGAAGGCAAACTCATTCGAAACAAGAATGGATCCAAGATTATTTATAGTAAATCAAAATTCATATATTCTTTTCATTCTTTTCCAAATAAATTTCATTAAATAAATTTCATTAATAACATTTTTACAGTCAATGGAAAGCTTCGAAAACATTCAGAGATAAAGCAATGCCTCACATTAAATCTTACACGAGATTGTCTCCTGATTTAAAAAAAATGGCTTGGTTCGTGCTTACCAGTGCAAATTTGAGCAAAGCTGCATGGGGAACACAAACGAATTATATTGCGAGTTACGAAGCTGGTGTATTATTCCTTCCTACATTTATCGTAAGTATCAAAGACAAAAATCAAATAATATCAAATATTGTCCAAATCTGATTTAAATGATATATTTTTCTCGAAGATCGGAGAAACGACATTCCCTATAGAAAAGGAAAATGACGATTCGAATATTCAACCATTTCCCATTCCATACGACCTTCCATTAATTCCTTATGAGCCTGAGGATAATCCATTTGTAATGGACATTTTCAACGAATGAAATATTTTCCCAAAATGATTACATAGGTATGTTCGATCTACGTTACAATAGACGATATGTGATCTTGTCATTGCCCCTTCCACTTCTATTTCCCCTTCCTTCTCCCACTCCGCTCCTTCTCCCACTTTACTATATTTAATACATCTTTTTTATAGTGTGTACTCAACGATATGTCTACAAATATGCTCAATGAATGATATGTCCTCAAATATTTTTAAATAAAAATTTATTTCAACTTAAGTAAATTCGCATATTTCGTTATTATAATTTCCCAACCGGCGCGGAAGTGGAAAAAAAAGAAAAGAAAAAAATTAAACAAATACAGAAATGGAAAATAAACTACTGAATAAATAGTCGTTCTCAGGTTCGTCACGTAAAGAGAAAATTTTGTAAAAGTGAATCGGCTCTTGCAAAATTTTTGGATTAGGTACATAAGACAACGACAACAACTTATTTTCTCAGTATCACTTGACTTCGTGAATTCGAGTCAGTTACCTCGATGGGCACGTGTTTTTCATAAAACATCAGTAAGAAAGCGCTTCCTGATGAGAGGCGGAGACATTATCCACCACTTCGAGGTAATATTGACTCGTTTGTGCATGCTTAGACTTCGAATAAGATTTAACTAGTCATTCTTTCTCTTTCTTTCTTTCCGTCTCTCTCTCTCCCTCTCTCTCTCTCTCTCTCTCTCTCTGTCTCTATCTTGCTGTGCTCACTCAAAGCAATTAAATGAAGTATTCGAATATTTTGCAATGAGAATTATTGATCGATCTGCCTATGGATATCTTAAGTAACCTTGAAGAACAAAGATCTCCAATTCCGCTTCATACAGCTTTACATTAGGTATAGTATTTATATATATATATATATATATATATATATATATATATATATATGCCTATATGTAGAAAATCAGGAAAGAGAGTTAAAAAAAAAAAAGAAAGGAAAAAGAAAAAAGAAAGAAATACATAGATACATAAACATTTCTGTGTATGTAAATGGCTTCGTCACAGCTCGTACGTTTCGTCCAAGGACATCGTCGAGTTATTACAGTACATTTCTCGTGGAAGAGCTAAACGCAAATAGTGACTATTTCTCCAAATAAATCTTCTCGATAATAAAAAAAAAAATCCAGTCAAATAGATATCGATCGATTCCGTATATTTACATATATCCCTTTTATCCTTTAACAGTTTATACAAACATCGTTTCTGGCAAACACATTCTGTTTTATACATTCTTTTTTTTCTGTCACTTTTATTTTCATTTCTTTTTTTTTTCTCTCTCCCCCATTTTATATCCCTAGTATCGCCTAATTAAAATTGACTATTTTTACATTCATCGATAAGATTGATACCATGTAATCTCATAAATAGATAAAGGATGTCTGTCTTGTAGTACAATATGAACATAAACGAGATAACCTTGTTCATTCTCATTATGATCTTCGTTGCATTCTAATTTTTGGTATTCGTTGAATTTGAAAAAAAAGAAAAGAAAAAAGAAAAAGAAAAGCGAAGAAAAAGGAAAAAGAAAAGAATAGAAGAAAAAAAGGTTGTAATGAAAGAACAATTTTAAATAAGAAGAGAGAAAAGTTCGTAAGAGTTAGATACGTCTTCAATGAAGTTTCGTCGAAAAATGAAAAAAACTGGCCAGGGTTTCTGCGAAGTCTGGTTACTCCCACCGCTACGGTTAGTCCAATCCTCCCCCGTAAGCGAGAATGTTCTAAGCGCAGATGCAAGAGCTCGGAAAGAAACGATCTGGTCGACACGATGACGATGACGACGACGACGACGACGACGACGACGACGACGATAACGACGATGACGGTGTGTTGAACACATCGAGCTAAAGGATTATCAGTTGTTGAGATGTCTTCGATACGAACGGGCTTCCTCTTAGGTCTTCGTACAGGTGTGTGTGTATGTGTGTGTGTACATGTGTGTGTGTGTGTGTGTGTGTTAATGTGAATGTATATTTGTGTATTCATACATTCATTCCCATAATTGTTGTGTGTTGTTATCACATATCGTTGTCAATATTATTATTGTTTAATAACAAATGCATCAGATGTAGATATGAATATACCCTCGATGAATATTCATTCTGATGTCTCATTTTAAGTTTCCATTGATTTTTCATTATATTTACATTGAGCCTTTCGTTAAAAACATTAACGAAGATTGATTTTAGTGAAAACACTTGAATTTCGGGTTGCCCCGCGTTCTGATACGTGCTTTGCTTGATAAATCTCGTTGAAAGTGAGCTCGCTCGTATCGAAAGTAGGTTCTATTCGAAATGCAAACTATCGCACAATGTAATTTCATTCATCGTAAAATGTTCATTCTCTCTCTTTCTCTCTTTTTTTCTTTTTGTTTTTTTTTTTTTTTTATTTCCATTCGTCATTAATAATTTACTTAATAAATATCACGTAATCGTAAAAACAAGGAATTCTTCGTTGATATTCGTATACGTATAATATTTCTTTACGTACGTATGTATGTACGTGTATGAAAAAAAAAAAAAAAAAAAGAAAATAATAATAATAATAATACAAACGGCAGACTATTACGCATTATTTTTATTGTTATTGTTGTTGTTGTTGTTATTGTCACGCAATTTAGCCACCCCTTTGTCACGATACAGAACATAATCAATAACTACTAAGTGTGAAATCGATGTACGTGATAAAAAAAAAAAGAAACAAGTGTTAAACAACAATATAATCGTGTCTCAGCAGAATTAATTTGAAAAATTATATAAATAAAATAAATAATTATTATTTTCTTTTATATTAAAATCAAAAAGAACTTATTAACACGTTTTTCTTAATTATAATCGGAAGAGTCAATAGTTACGTACATAAACACATACTTATATATTTAATCACGTATATACTTAGGTATCTTTGTGTATTATAAATATATGAATATCTGACCCTGAAGGAAATCATACGTGAAATATATTATCGGATCTTTAATGTGACTCATTTAGCATATGAAACGTAAAATAGCGAGAATTTTCTACAATTTATATTTGTAATACTCATTAATATTATCGTGACCTTCATCCAGGACAATACTTTTGTTATATATGTTTCTTTGTCCATTCGTTCACAGTAAGAGAACCCTCACTTGCAGAATCGAAATCTTCCGAGTGTGACGTAAAGAGGCTGAAAAAGATAAATAATTAAAGAAATAAATACAGAGCTCTTCGTTATTCGATAACTCGATGACTAAGACGACAACTTTTCGAAGGATTATGAGGTATCCTTTAAAGGATATTATTGAGTAGGACTCTGTGAAAGGAAAAGATATTAAAAAGTGTCGTTTAACATGATAAAAAGAGACCAGAACTTTTTATCAACGAAAAGTGAACCGTCTCGAGCACGAATCGATAACAACACGGCTTCCCGCCAGTTGAAAGCTTCCAAAGTCTGATCGAATTACAACACATTGACCATTATCGTCCCAGCAGGACGACAAGACCATCAACGAAAGGACGATAAATATTAGGATGATAACTTGTTGGGTCCTAGCCGGTATCCTCGGTGCCGTCATACTCCTTCATCTCCTCGTCGAGGTTCATTATTTCCTACGTATGTTCCTCACGGTTTTCCTTGCGAGATTCTGTAAAAAGAAAATTCATATACTTGATGAGGCATCGGTCTATGGTAAGTACTTGTGACGAAAAAAATATTCTAACGAATATTCTCTCTCTTTTCGTTTTTATGTCTTGCAAAAAAAAAAAAAAAAGAATATTTTACTGACAAGTCTATTTTTTGTTTTGTTTTGTATCTATATTGAAAGAAGGATCGAATCGAAAATATTTATATTCTGATTATAGGCTATTATTAAAAGATAGGACTTAAAACTTCAAGGAAACTTTTATAGAAAGTTTTCTTACTCTTTGATAAAAAACTTTTTCAGAATTTAAAACGAACGAAGGTTTATTATATTATTATAACGAATTAAATTCTTTTGATAATCTATTTGATAAAACATTTAATGAAAATTCTTGATTTACGTGTCATTAGACGATTAACAAAAGTTAGTATGTTATATCAAAAATTACATTACAGTTAATTAAATCTTAAACCTAATTTTTTAAACGTCCAAACGAAAATATATTAATTTCTAAGCTTCGATCGATCAGGAAGGGACAAGCAATGCAGCAAGCAAGCCAGGAGAATCCTTACGATTACTTGTGTCGGCCTTGCACATGCCTCGTGTAAACCTTGACCTATAGAGACAATCAGCTGTGATTGATAGAATACAAATAATCGAGGATATATCTCTATCGTTTATTTAAAAAAAACAAAAAAAAAAAAAAAACAACAACAACAAAAAAGTAACAAAAAAAACAACAAAAAAAATAACGAAAGAGATTCATCATAGGATCATCTCTTCTTTTTTTTTTTTTATTAGGTATTTGTACTACGACCGACGTAGACACTCTTCTCTATCACATGAACAATGCAAGATATTTGAGAGAATTGGACTTTGCTCGAGCTGATTTTTACGAGCGAACTGGTCTTTATCGTGAAATTTGTTCTCAAGGATCTGGTGTCGTTCAAGGAGCAGCAACGATACGTTATCGGCGATTTCTCAAGCCTTTAACTATTTATAAGATAACTTCAAAGGTGAGCTTAAAGAAATTACCAATCTTGTCTCAGTTGTTAATTTCTTTAATGATTAGGAATTCGCTTGAATATTTTTCAAATAAAATTCACACCTCGGAATCTTTGCATATTTTAATTAATTTATTCTTTTCCATTAGTTTTTTCTCTTTATTTCGAAATACTTGTTTTATTTTTCTAAAAATGTTTAAACGAATGTTAACTATCGCATTATCGATCGAACGAACAAGATATACGCATATATGCATATAATTAAAAAAAAAAAAAATATTCGTTTGAATAAACTTCGAATAATTTCATTTAAATTATTTACATTCTTTTGAAATGTATACAACAAATAAAGTTATAAAAATGAGAATCCACAAGTGATTTCAGACTGATCTAACTTTTGATATCGAAATTTAAAAATTAAAATATTTCTATAAAATTGGATATATGCGCAATGGAATTCAAAGTAATGAAATTCTTAAAATAGAATATTGTAACAAGAATATTTAAAATAGTGTTAGCCATTAACGCGTCCTATATCGATCATACTTATATTGTGTTTTACACGAAAGTACTGGTTTATTATTTTTTATACAATTTTACTGTCATTGCAGATCATTTATTGGGACGAAAAAACGATTTTTATGGAACATCGTTTTGTTACGCCGAGTGATGGATTTATCCGAGCTATAGCTATCTGCAGGCAAAGACTTTTAGACTGCAGTGCAGAGACGGTTATGGGTACTCTCGTTGATCGAGGTGTTAAACAAAATGGTAACGTCGAGGCAGGTGTTACACAGGTAAAATCACAAATATCGTCATTACGATGTGATGTTCAAAAATATATAATATTTTTTATTATGACATCATGAATAATTGACATTGAACACTGATTGGTTTCTCGTTGAACGTATCATTCTAACATCTATTTTTTCACTAATATTAATTGCATCATTTGATTATACATCTTACATACATAATTAACAAAATAAGGCAATTAGGATGAAATATTTAGACATTTTTTTCTTTTCAAAATAAAAAAAGAAAAAATATCTTCCGTATTGTTTTTATTCTTATATAATCGCTAGATTTATGGACATTATATGCTTACTGAAACTCATCGTATTAAGAGAATTTATTAACAAGAAATATTTTATCATTATTATGCATATTAGTTTATTTACTTTAAAATTAATAGATTTATTAACATAAATTTATGTGTATTCATACGATTACATCACTACATATATATATATTGATTATGTAACTAAGTATAAAATCTAAAATCTTAAAAAACTTGAAGAATATCAAATACCCTAAATCTAATGTTAGAAAAGATCAAGTCATTTAAAGTGTTTATATATAAAATTCATCATCTTGTGTAAAGTACATAAAAAAAATTCAAATATAAATATATTATTGATAATATCTCATACATATTATATTACTATGACTTATTAATAAATTGCAATTTATAAATAATTTATAACAAGTACAATAAATTTTCCAGATAACTCACGTGAGGCCAGAGATACCACCAGAAGTAGCAAGATGGTTAGAAAGTAATGAAATTTCCTCTGCGATTCTTCGACAATCAATTATACCTACAATGAATACTACAACAACAGCAACCACGACGACAATGACGACAACAACAACAACGACAACAACAACAACACCTTCGAATTGCTGACAAAACGAGAACGCGACAAATGGTGTCGCAGAAACGACGATCTACGTAACTACTACCGTCTAAATATACAATACGCGAGAACGTGAAAAGCACCGTGTTTATATGTATGTTCATTCAGAATAATATTTCCAAGTGCACCGATCATTCTTTATTTGTTGATAATTTAGAGAAGATCTGAGATTCTTCCTTTATGTATATATATATATATATCTTCCTATATATATATATATCTCCCTATATATATATATATCTTCCTATATATATATATATATTTCTCATACGATTTTTTGTTCCATATAAATGTATTATATACAATATCACTTATGTATATGTATATGTAGAAAAAAATATAACAACGCGGTGCTTTTAAGATGACTGCTCAGGGCTATTATTTGATGACCGAGAACAAATATTTACACGTAGACATCTAACAATAAGATTTATTCTTATCGTCGCTTCAAGTTTTAAAAAAATGTAAAAAAAGAAAGATACATTTCGCGATATGAATTAGCAAGGGGGAAAGAAGAAAAAAAAAAAAAGAAAAGAAAAGACTAGTTCTATAAACAAAAAAATGAAGCACGATACGAGAAATTGCGTGCAACTAATATAATATAATACATATGTATGTATATATATTGTATGTATGTGCTATGTTTCTCTTAGAAACTTAAACTATAAAAATTATTAGATACTTTTACTCTGATTATATACAGGGTATATTAAATTTGACCTAATCACGCGAAATATTTCTGAGTGATTAAAGATTTTATCGATGAACAAAGAAATTATCGTTGCTATCTTTTTTATTTTTTCTTTTTTTTTCTTTTTCTTTTTTCTTTTTCTTTTTTTTTTTATGAATCAATGCACTTTTATTATCGATTATGACTTATAGAAAGAAAAATTTAATGGTATTAATTTGTTGCTCTCTATTAATGAAATAATATCTTACCAGGATATTACTTCGTATTATCGAAAATAACAGCTTAAATTACATCAAATATCTTGTATGAATATATAAATGTAGTAATTTAGAAATTCTTATACGAGCTGGTGATTATGAAACTGGCTTAAGTCTTACACACACACACACATATACATCTATATATGTTTTTGATGCTTATGCATTATTATAACGTAGATCAATAAAATAAATGATTAATTGAATTATTGCAAACTTTAGATTTAGCAAATTTTTATGAATACTGCTCATATATATATATATATATATATATATATGATTTTATTTATGATGAGAAGAAAAAATTTGTACACAACAATTTTACACATGCTCATTAATTTAAATCGAATTTATACATTATTAAATATGGATTGATTATTATATGAATCAATTAGTCTTTCTCTTTTTCTTTTCTTATTGAAATAAGAATTAATCTTTTCGCTCTAAACGGTGTATATATGTATATAATATTAAAATTTTATTTCACACTAAACACTGTCATAAAAAATTGACAATTATGAAATAATATTATATTTTGGCCACGAAATCACATGAAATTTTAATACTAAACAAGTTTTCATTTTAAAACGTTTTTATAATTTTTTTATCTTGTAATTCTAAAAATATAATATTTCTAAGAGAAATGTAAAATAAAAATATAACGCGCGTATTGTTTTCAAAGAATAATCTTTTTTACTGTAATAAAGTATATCACTAATCTTATAAAATATAAAAATCAAGTACCGTAAACTTTTCGTACAGAAGCACCCAGAGCGAAAGAATTAAAGATCAATTTGCAAAACAATATTTATCCAAGATAAAACACGAGTTTCTATAATGTAATTGAAATTTCTATTAATTGTTGATTAATTTCTCTTAACGATAAAAAAGAAGTCTGAAAAAGACATTATTTTTTAGGTTTTATTGAATCAAACAGACGACAATATCTTCGTTTTTTTTTTTTTTTTTTATTACGTTACACTCAGAAGCCATAAAAATAGTTTTAAATTATCATCTAATTATATCTATGGAATGAATGAATTTCTATATTAGCACAATCGACGACAAATTAAAATTTATAGTTCGTTTAGATAAATAAAGAAAGAAAGTAATATAAAATCAAAAAAAGAAAAAAAAACAAAAAGCAAAAAAATAATAGTGAGTAGCAAAATACGCTTTGTTATTATATATCTAGATTGTTCTGTAATAAAATTATTACTACGTTGTGAATATGTTCTCGATGTTATTGTCGTCCAAAAAATATTAGAAAATAAAGAATTTACAGAAATCAATATTGATTCTTAGAAATTTTGCCTTTTTTTTTTTCGTTTTGAATGTATTTAATTATTTATAAATTATCGACATACGTCTATTTATATTGAATATTTATCCTTGCATTTTCTAATGCACATAATAAATATATAATAAACATATTCATGAACATATAATAAAAATGACATATACATTTCAAAAACAATAATACACGCAGAAGTATTTTACATTTTCTCTCTTTCTCTCTCTCTCTCTCTCTCTCTCTTTCTCTCTCTCTCTCTCTCTCTTTCTCTCTCTCTCTCTCTCTCTCTTCTCTCTCTCTCTCTCTCTCTCTCTCTCTCTCTCTCTCTCTCTCTCTCTCTCTCTCTCTCTCTCTCTCTCTCTCTCTCTTTATATTATTTTTAGATATTTTTATAATATCTATATATAAACAATGATTAATTTTAGCTTTCTTAATATTTTAATTTTGATTTTTATCGTTGGAGAAAGAAAAATACTATTGAACAATAAAAAATTTATGTTAAATACATTATATATGTAAACGAATAAATTCAATGATAGGTTAATACATTGAGTGCCACGTCAGTCATCAATAATTAATACTGAAACTTTCCGTTTAGATTACTGGTGATTACAGTGTTAAATATAATATAAAACTAAAGAGTTTATATAGTTTTAAATGATTACTGAAAATTTCTTTAAAAGTTATATAATTTTTATTTATTACAGGATTATTTATATAGCTGTATCGAGTAAATTTCAATCAGTACGCTTCGGCATTACTATACCGCTATACCGGCGCTTCTACGTAGCGCGTATGACCTAAAGGAAATTTCTTGAAGAAATTCCTTGATATTCAACCTGTTAAGTTAGTGAATAAAATTATTGTCCAAAGCGATCAGTATTGTTTTGTCATTAGAAGAGTAGATATCATTTGGTCTCTTTCATTTATGAAAAATTATTTATTTGAATAATATTTTTCTTTTTTCACTTGGATAATTTAATGATAAAACAAAATGTGGGATATTTTCTTTTACGCGATCATTGCAATTATTTATCTCATTGACATAAATTATTTCTTGCGAGTAATATTTGTTTTCGTTTGGACTAAATGCATGCAAAAAAAGACAAAACCTACGAACGAAACTACGATATATGGTAAGTATTTTTTGAAAATTAATATATTTTGAAAATTTCATTTCTTATTTAATTTCAATTGTACCTAATGTCGGTAATATTATTTTACCATCGTTAAATTTCACCTTTGGATTATTATTTATCACATAGGTGCATGAAATAACAAGTTTTTATAATAACTATTTCAAATTTCACATTATTTTCAAAAATAATTTGGTTTCCTTGTATAACGTAATTAAAAAAAAAAAAAAAAAAAAAAAAAAAAAAGAAAAAATCCGAAAGCTTAAATCACTATTTATTTAACTAAAGATACTATTTAATAAATTACTGATAAATTTATTTATTATATTACTATTCATTTATTTAAACAATGTCGAGTAGTAAAATATAAAAAATCGATTCGATACAATGATTGTAAGAATCGATAAGAGTCCGCTCAAATGAACGATTATTACGACACATATTTTTTCATTAACATTTTTATATCCTTTTTTCAATCATTTTCAATCATTATTAACTTATCATGTAGATACTTAAGATCGATTTGATTAATACATAACAAAATAACATTATTCAATTTATTTTTCAGGTATATGTATTACTCAAGATTTGGATCTTGTATTATCACATATGAATAATGCAAGATATCTACGTGAAATAGATTTTGCTCGTTTTCATTATTTTGTTCAAACCGAAATGTTTTATTTGATGGGAAAAATGGGTGCTACTGTAGTCCTCGGTGCTTCATCCACAAGATATCGACGGCCGATTCCTTTCCTTATGACGTACAAAATCATGACTAAGGTAAAATCAAAGATCTCAAAAAGTTCGAAAGATGACGGTAAAATCAATGTTAAATTCTCGTGATAAAATGACACTCTTCTATTGCAGTTAATTTATTGGGACGAAAAAAGTTTATATTTCGAGCACAAGTTCATCAATCTTCGAAATAATTTCATTCACACGGTCATTTTCAGCAAGCAAACGACGATCGGCTTGAAAATATCTTTGACCGAGTTCTTGAAAAAATTTGAACCTGAAATTTGTTTACCTGAAATAAACGAAGATCTCAGATTATGGTTAGAATCGATGGAATATAACTCTCAGAAACTCAAAAAGAAGGATTAAAAAAAAAAAAAAAAAATTGTTTTTTTTCTGTTTTTATATTTTTCTCACAAGTTTTTTACGTTATATGTAAATGCTGTTTTAATTATTTTATATTCATCTGTTTTTAATTAAAAATTTATCCTTTATATCTCTCAAATGTTTTAGATCAATAGGTGTTCTTTGTTAATTTTTCTAATGTTACTACAAAAGTGTATCTTATGTTTATAGCATAAAATAAGATTAAAACAAAATTATGTTTACAAATAAAATCTGCATTTTCATTTTGATTTTTATACTTACGATATACATAATATAAAAAATCGAATAATAGTGTAGAAAAGTAGAGTTTAATTAACAAAGAAAGGACTTAACGGTGATTCAGCATAAAACTGTAATTTATGAAAATGATTGTAAATAAGAAAAATATATTTTTACAGTAATGAATAATATGTGATAATTTTTGTAAAGTCATTATTCAATGTACTTTTTTATAACATTGTCCTTGATGTGATCACATTATAATAAATTTAAAGAGAAAAAATATCAATAGAAAAGAAATTATATTATTCTTTTTTATCATATATAACATTAAGTTAATAACTATTATTTATTACTGTATTATATTTTTGTCTCTTTCTATTAGAAAATGAAATTAATATTTCTTTAGTTATTCTACATAAATAAAGCGATTACGCTAGTTTTGATTATGTTTTAATTAGATATCAAGTACTCTAAATATAAAATGCAAAAATTCAGGACAAGAGTTGTGTACATCTAAATTTTATAACAATATGCTTTTTTTATTTAATTTATAATACATAATGTGAAATAATATTTACTATAGAACAAGACAATGGTAGAGCAAAATTTTTTAATTTAATAGATATTTAATATACTATTATAATTTTTTTTTCTAAATACAACATAAGCAGTGGAATGTTGTATATACATTTTCTATTCTTATGATTAAAACAAAAAGTATGATAACATTCAAGAAAAAAAGAATTATCATATTGTACAATTAGTATATTTAATTAAGTTATACTTTCTTTTATTATATAAACAACATATAGTTTAATGTATATCTTCTGGATTGAACATGCCCTGCAAGGGGAATATTATTAATTAAAAATATCTATTTTAATATTTTATAATGAGATATTAGCAATCATACCTTAGCACGTCTTAGAATTGAATCTTTACTAGCATCATATGGATGATCCTTACTAGGAATCTCTAATACAGAAGGAATAGGCTGAGTATGACTGTCAATAACATGTCTAATCATTTCAGCAACCTAAAATTTATTAAAGTTTACTAGAGATAACACATTAATTAATAGCAGTAACAGTTTGTTGAAACAAATGAAAATAAATTTTATATTACACTATTGTATTCTTCGTTTCACGTTATAAAATTTTAATAAATTTACTCACATTTTGATTTATAAGAATAATGTCAATGTCATCTCTTTTAATAAAACGCTTAAATGTATCCTCTATTTCACTCTCTGGTGTATCTGTAAAATATATTACTTTTCACAGTATATATGTAACTATCTATCCAATACAAGTAATTACTTTGTTGTATATAACAATAAAAACAAAAGTTGTAATTATAAAAATAAAACAATACTTTTATCAACAACCATAAAGTTAGGTTGACGATGTTTATTAATTTCTCCAACACCTCCAAGTAGGAATCCTACACATGTATCCTGAGAAAAGATGAATATATGGTAAACTTCAATATTTCTTGAAAAGTATTAAAAACTCTACTAAAACAACATTACATTGTAAATAAAACTTATATCTGTAAAAATTAAGTTTACCTCATCTCCTATTACCGCAAGAAGTTTACCCTTTCCAGCTGAATGAAGTGTCATTATTGTAAAAATAAGTTACAAGATATTTTGGAGAAAGAAGAATAAATAAAGTCGATATAAATTTTCACGTTCAGTCAGCTGACAGTATCACACCTATTTCGATTAGGTATAAATCACGTGCAAAAACTCGTCCAATGAAATCGATTGTTTGTATTAAAGTCGGGACACAAGTGCAATCGAATGGAATGGCGCGTTTTCAATTGTGTTTCTTGTTTCTATGATCGACTTTCATTCTATACCACCTTAACCAATCTCTTTTACTGTAGAATGAATCTAATATCTTCAGCATTTCTAGTATTAGGTAATTAATTAATAGAAAACTTAAATTTCTCTTATAGATCGTAAGGTGAGTTTAAGTAATCTTATATTTTATTGTACGCGCAATCTGATTATTATTATTCTATAATGATTCTATCTTTAGTTTCAAAATCAATTGACAAGAAAATTGTAAAGTAGATAGGATAAATACAATTGGTCTTTAGCCTTATCTTTATTACTACAACTTTACTAGAAAGTTTGTTAGCTTGTATAAAGCTTCTACGTCTCCCGTATCTTTCTGATTATTTGTGGAAGTACAGTGAAAAAAGTAAAAAGGATAAGAATTCGTGCGTGTTACGAAATTTGTCGTAACAACGTGTAGATAACACTATTTAAAAAAAAGAAAAAAAAAGGAAAAAAAAAAGAAAAAAGAAAAAAGAAAAAACTAAAGTGTTCAACACATCGATTATAAGTCAATTCTGTTATATACACTGCCAATTAAATTGTCTGCAATTTTGTTGATAACGGATTTGAAACTTTAAATAACATATATACGAACTTAAATCCCATTTATTCTTAAGGAGGCGATATTCGATTCCTTCAAACAGTATGGCCACTTGGGATGGCTCATGTCACGAACCTGAAGATTCAAATTATTTTTTTTATTCGGGTCAAAATAGTGCCATCCCTAATGTAGAAAGTTGGACTTTTTATCCCAGTAATGGGAGCAACGTTTTTTTCCATAGTACTCATGCACCATATTCGCAAAATACTTCAATGATGTTGGGACAAAGTGAACATATTGCTTCCTGTCAAACGGATGCTAACTTTTCATCAGGTTCTCTAAATTCATTGCCTTTAAGAGACACTTGCCCAGATTACTTAAATACTCCAGGCAGCGCACAAGACTGTCAAGGTAACAGTAGGTCACAGAACATGTCAACATATTATCAAAGCAATAGACAAGGGAAACGAATTAAAAATTATAAAGATAACAATAAATATGAATTTCCAAAAGAAATTAGTCGCAACACTTGTAGCATAGTTGAACATTCCAATTTACATCCTACCGCAAATGAATTTATACCACATGGAATTAAACATTATCCCAATCAAGCAAATACAAGTCTACATGTAACTAATCCAGAAGATTCTAAACCACATTTGCCACAAAAAACGTATGTTTCTGATAATGGGAGTAAATATAAAAAGAAATATAATACAAAAAAAAATAATTCATACAAATATAAAGAAATACCAGAATATAACTTTCGGCAAAGAGCTTCATTTCAAAATTCCTATAAAACACAACATGGTAGAAATTATAGAAAATATCAAAATAGTAAGTACTGGTGTATAAAGCATATATATTTATTAATAAAATAAATGATATCAATAATTAAAAAATTTTTATTTTAGCTTCTGAAGAGCCGGTAGGTATGTCTAATGATCATAGAAATAATTCAACTATTGATGAAACACAGAAGAATGACAAATTTATGAATATTAATGCAAATATCAATGCCAATAAAACTAATACACCTAATATTGAAGAGAGACATGAAATCAATGATCAAGTAAGAGCTAACAAAGAAAATGCTGGTGCCAGCAGTACTACAAGTCAAAATTGTGATTTAAGTAAAAATAATTACCAACGTCATAATACTAATTTTGGAACACAACGTATTCCTGCTAAATATAGTAGAAAAGTTACCAATAATCGCAAAATTGGTAGATATGATAATAATTATCGTGAAAGAAAAAATAACTACCAGGAGTATAATAATTATAAGGAAAAATATGAAGAAAGCAAAATAGATATTACTAAGGATAAATATAAAAACAAAGATGTGACTCAAGAAACTAAAGAAGTAGAAATTGTGAATTGGAGACAAAAGGGAGAAGGTAATGATAGAAATAATATTTCAAAACGAAAGCAGAATAAAAAACATGAAGGTAATGATAAATTATTTTTTAGTATGAAACTTATTTCCTACGTTTGTCAATTTACTTGAATAGTAATTGATTTTTTATAGATGATGATGCAAGCCAAAGGGAAAGATTAACAGATCAATTAAATAGAGGACAATTAGAATGTTTAGTATGCTGTGAATATATAAAACAAAATGATTATATCTGGTCTTGCTCAAACTGCTATCATGTTTTGCACTTAAAGTGTATAAAAAAATGGGCAAAATCTTCCCAAGCAGGTACTCTCTTTTATCATACAAATAATTTCAATTATAAACAACATTAAGAAATCTTTTTTTTTTTTTTTTTTTTTCTTTTTGTTCTTTTTTCTATTTTTTTCTTTTTCTTTTTTGTAGAAAATGGTTGGAGGTGTCCTGCATGCCAAAATGTAAGCACAACAATTCCCGAAGAATATTTCTGTTTTTGTGGAAAAACAAATATGCCTGAATGGAATCGCAGAGATATGGCTCATTCCTGTGGTGAAGTTTGTGGGAGATCTCGAATAAAAAATAATTGCCCTCATAAATGTACTTTGCTATGTCATCCAGGATCTTGTCCATCATGCATAGCAATGGTAACAAAAAATTGTGCTTGTGGGAAAACATCACAAACGCTACAATGTTGTGCATTAACATTATTGTTATGTGATTCTGTTTGTGGCAAAATCTTAAATTGTGGAAAGCATACATGTGAAAAGAAATGTCATCATGGGGAATGTGAGCCCTGTGATAAAATAATACAACAAGGTAATTTTACATTATTTATAACAGTATAATAAGTATAATATAGAAAGTTATACATATTATTTATAAACACACATTATGTATATTATTTATTATAGAATGTTATTGTGGGAAAAGTAAAAGAGATGTAATTTGTCAATCTAATGTACCTTCAATATATTCATGTGAAGGTACTTGTGA